TATATATGTGTATGTGTGTGTGTGTGTAATGAAATTATACAAATTTTCTATATTTGATATTTTTGTAATTTCCAGATATGCTAAATTATTCTATTAACATATATGATGATGGGAATCTTTTGGAAATTGTCAGTATGTCAAGTAAGTTTTTCATAAATCCTAAATGACGATTATTCAAACAATTTATATATCATCTTGTGATTTATTGTATATAAAAGTTTATTACTTTTTAATATATTCCAAAGATTATAAAGAAAATATATATATTTTTTTAATTTGTAAAATTTTGTAGTTACTTTTCCCTATTCATCTTTCAAGCTAAAGCATTATAATCAGTTATAAAAAGAATGTTTTTTTATTAATGGCTTTGTAATTTTTTAAAGCAAAATACAAAGTTTATTACATTTCAATAGTGCTATGAGTTTAATGTTTTTATTTATGGATGAAATCATTTCAGAATTTTAATAGGATAATTTCCAATAAGTTTGAATTTTAGATAATTTTTGCTGTAAAAGTTGAACTGGAAACATTTGATAAATTGTTATCGACTTTTTATACATTTAGGAAACAATAAGTGAAAAAGTTTCTTGTGTATACCAATTATACATTAATGCAAAAACTTTTTATATAAAATAATATAAAGAAAATAATTTTAGAAAATTATTTATCTTTATCAAGTTATTTATCTTAGTTTTAGAATTATTATTCATCCTTGTATTTTGTTTTATTCACTAGTGAAGTTGAAAATGCCATATATTAGACAATGTACTATACGCTCAGGCAATGTACTTATTAATTTTTAAAGACTTTTAATGGATTAAGTTAATGGTCATAGGTTAATGGATTTTAAAGAATTTCTAGAAATCAATACAGTAGAATTTAATAAAATATTCAACATAATTTTAATGGCTACAGTTTCAATAACATTTGAAATGGAAGGTTTTATTTTATCTATATATATATAAATGATGATGATTGTTTGTTTGTTCATTATACACTTCTGGGCTGTTTGACCAATTGCTATGAAACTCAGCAGTTAGGCTCAAATACTTCTAACTTTGATCATGTCATACATCCCCTCCCAAAATATCAATTGCATTTCTATAATTTAATTAATTTTTATTTACGTTCGATTTTCTGAGTTATGCATCTATTGACAAAAAAGTTAACAAAATAATTAAGTAAATATAATTCTTACAAAAAAACGGATATAATTTTAAAAAATATATATTATATTCACTGAATTACTGCGACAATGATATAGCATGAAATAGATGCACCATTATGCCATTACTGTGACAGGTAGCACATAGCACTTGACTGTGTGCTGTAGTAGTGTGTTGCCCCTGTACATTATACTTTTTCTGTTAGCAATAGAATCGTGCCAGTTATGTATCTGACTTCATTTGGGGGAAAATTTTTGTATTGAAATAACATGACTTGTACAAATCATAAGTTCATATATAGTTAATCTGGTCCTTTTATGATTTCTATGTCTGGTCTCAGCTTTCATCTATCTAACTTTGTTCTTGAGATTAAGGAAGGTCAGAGACAGATGGACAACTGGAAATACAGTTTTTTCAATTGCAACCCAATAAGTATACTCCAGTAACTGAATGGAACACCACTAGTTGTGGTTGTGGGTTTACATATGCCCAACAGACTGGCCAAGTGGATTTTTTTTTCTTTGCATTAGTAACACTTCAATTGGGACAAACTTTACATAAACATCTTTCTGGGATGCATTCTCCTTGGCAGATCACTCACGTGTCGAACCAAATAATCCAAACTAATTCTAATGAGTGATTATTTATTGTAACATTGTCATAATGCTGGGCTCAAGTTTTCGTCATAATGTTCTCAATTTTTTTAGTGGTGATCTTACCCTGTACATCATACTTTTCCTGTTAGCAATAAAGTCGTGTCAGTCATATCTAACTCCATTCAGGGAAATGTTTTGAATCAAAGTAACATTGCTTCCATTCTAAACTGGGAGTTTGTATATAGTTAATCTGGGCCTCCTGCCCTAAGCTTTCCACATCTGGTTTTGGCTTTCATCTATCTAACTCCTTTCTTGAGATTAAGGAAGACTTGTAGGTGATGACAGTGGGAATTTATAGGACTACAATTTTTTCAAATTGCAGTCCAATAATTTTTCCATAAATGCAATATTTACAAGAACACACTTCCCTCATAGTTTATACAATCTGTTGTCAATTTTTAAAAAATTTATTATCACATAAAAGCAATTATTCTAGCATTTTTACAAGATTTTTTTTTATTTAAACCAGTCGAACAAAGTATTTCAGATGTTAAGGTTAGCAACTTTGATCACATCTGGGACCATCACAACCCATCCAACACAGATCAATTTTCAAAAAGTAGACCAGTATTAATGAGTAGTCGTTGACCATCCTCTCTTCCAGGAGGATCAATGACTTTTGGTCAAATTAACTTTGACTCCCTTTTGCAACAGTTCCTTCTTTCTATTGGACCAGTTGTATGGTGGCATTCAAATAGGAAAATTACATAATATAAGGTTACTGGCCAGCACAAAATATGATTTAAGTGGTTTTCGAGGATGCCAAGTTTGAATATTTGGTCCGTTTTTTTTTAAATTTGATTTGTTGGCAGATTACCATTTGATATTTGGCTGTGAATGGTACAGTTTCTTAGAGTTAACATTAGAAAATTTTATGATATCAAAATTATATGATATTATAATATGAAAATTTGAGATATATTTTCAATTCCTGACTACTTGACCATTGAATTTGTGTCATTTCGAACCATCCGAGTATCGTAACAATGGTAGGCTGAAATAACCAAACTCTTTATACAGTTTTCATTTTAACATTTGATATATTAAAGTATTTGACTTATATAACTACAAAGGTTATCTTATGTAAGGGTTTATCACACTGAGTGACCAATTTAACACATTTTAAAATTCTTTATTCCTCTACTGTACACAATTTAAAGAATTTTTAAAATGTGTTGGTATGGGCACTTGATGTGATAAGCTCTTACGTAATATAACCTTTGTAAATGTAAATCAACAATCAATATAATATAATATAAAGGTTAGAAGTATAAAATAACCTTAATATTTGTTTTTAGTTTTTGCCTGGGAAATACTGGGCTTACCTGCTAGTAAATTAATAAAATGCAATATACAGTAGATCGTCAATTATCCGAAACAGTTTGGGACTGGGATTGTTAGGATAACTGATCATGTACGAAAAAATATATTAACCTATCCCATGTTGAAATTTTTCTCTGTTGCATGTTGCTTTGCATTGAATTTTCATCAATGTTAAGCTTAACAAAATTTTTTTTAAAACAATAATCATGGCTATTGTATCGTTAAAAATTATTTCTTTATTTTGCACAAACAAAATAAATATATTGAAAAATATAAAAACAAAAAAAGATTATATTTTGGAAGTTTTCTAGTATCAAAAACGTTCCAATTCAGCCTGACACATGTTCCGACACAGTCCTCAGAAAAACATCACACAAAACAAGTAAAACTCACCACTCACGATGGGGGAAAAAGGCCTCATTCAAATACTGGTGCATCCTTAAGTACCCTGTCATGGTCTTGCCAGTGCTGCCAGCTAAAACATGCACAGCAATAAAAATAATATTGGAGTAGCCCAAGACAGCCAAATATTGCAGCACCACAGCACTAGTGGAAATTTGAATTTGCTGACTGGAACACTTTCAGTTTACTGATGTTTCAGTTGATCAGTATTCAGATAACTGATGCTCTACTGTATGAACTTATTTTAACTGTAACTAGCTATATAGAAGGTTTATTATTATTAAATTTTAATATTACTTTCGGTATAAATAAAATACTTTATTTGTTAATTAATTATCTTTCATTTGATAAAAGCATCTCATGGCACACATGTTGCAAGTATTGCTGCAGCATACTTTCCTGATGAACCAGAGAGAAATGGTATTGCACCAGGAGCACAGATTGTTAGCATAGGTATTGGAGATTCTCGTTTGGGATCTATGGAAACTGGCTCATCTCTAGTGCGTGCTGTAAGTTAATTATTAAAATGTATTATTACATTTATATATTACAGTTTTATATAATATATTCAAATATATTCTTTGTATTATATAAATAATAAAATTATATAATAATTACATAGTAAATATATATAATAATAATAATTTTTATAACCATGAAGTTTTTAATAAATGTCATTTTAATGTAATATTTATTTCAATAAATAAAAATAAGGCTTGATTGAAATTATAAATTTTGTGTAATGATTTGTAATAATTTTGGACAATGAAAGATTTATCAAAACATCCCAGAAGCTGGAACTGTAAATAATTACCTTATGTATCAGATTTATCACATATTAAAATTATAATAATTATACACTATATATGTAATAAAACAAAATTTCCAAAAAATATAATCGATTTTAGGAAAATCTAGAAGAAAATATTGACTTGAAATGATATTCCTAACTCTTCAAGAAGTTTAGATATATTATCAAGTTATATCAGCCAGGCTCTAAATCATATTTTATTTCTAAATACACATTAATTCTAAAACACATGTAACTGCAAAGACATGTTCTAGTCAAAGTGGCAATAATATAACTTTCGTAATTATTAAGTAGTAGTAACTACTACAGAATTTGCAGTAGTTGTGGATTTAAATTCTACTTGAGATTGATTTTTTTTTCTTTTAAAGGTTTCTGAAATAAATTGAAAATTAATTTTAATTATTAAGATTATGAAATAGCAGCAGTACTTATCTCTAGTTCAAAGTTTATAATAAATGAATTTATTGTATTGTAATAACCTGGAAAAAGTAATGAAGGTTATTTTTGTTGAATTGTATTACTTGATCATTTCAACAATGTTTTGTTATAAAAACTAGTAAGAAAATGTTATTTTCTAATCAAATTAATAATTAATCCAGGAATAATTTTGATTGATAAATAAAATTAAATTTTTTTTTCACAGATGATTAAAGTTATGGAATCAAATTGTGATGTGATAAATATGAGTTATGGTGAACATTCCCATTGGTCAGGAGGGTAAGTTTTGATTTGAATAGAATATAAAATATAAATGTTGCATAACTTTACAAAATTATTTAATTTTTATTAAGATTCATATTTTTCAATTACATATGCAATTTTTTGTTGATATGCTTGTGCTTTTTTGCTTAAGCATATCAATGCATATTAATGAATAATGAGACACATTCAACAAAAATTTTCTCAATATTCATTGATAAAACAATTTTACATCACAGTTTGGAAATTTTCTCTATTTTGGAAATGTTACCTATATTATACTACCACTATCATAGTTAATGGACAATATAAGAAAATCAGATTTAATTTATAGTGAAGGTTTTTTAATTTGCACATGAATTTTCAGAATTGCTGTCAGGTTAATTGATATTTAAAAAGGTAGACAAATGCACAATTCAAAGATCATAAAGAAATGGTTCAAATTCACATAATCATTTTAAATAAATGAGTTTATTTAAAAACTTTTGTAAAGAAAATGTAAGAACTTATTCTAATGTTTATATATTTGATATTAAAATTAGNATTAAATAATTTGGTACTAGAGATAAGCATAAGGCATCATCTCTTATTAAATTTAATAATTATAACATTTATTAATTAATTTAGAATATTCTGGAAGAAAAGAATCAGCCTGGAGCAGGACTCAAATCTGCAACTCCTGGAAGCAAAGAATTGGATGGAGGTCCAGATAGTATAATTGGCAACACATCCACACAGTAAACAGGACTTGCGGGTTTGAATCTTGCTCTGGGCCAATTTTTTTTCTTCCAGAATATTCTAAATTAGTAAATGTTATAATTATTAAATTTAATAAGAGATGGTGCCTAATGCTTACCTCTAGTACCAAATTACTTAACAGTTAATCATTAATAATAGCAAATTAGCCCAATTAATTAAGATGACAGTTTGCTTTATAAATATTCTTCAAATGAAAATATAAAATCAATTAGATTGCATCATTTTTGTTTTTATTACAGATAAAGATTTCCATAGGTTGGAATTGATTAATTGTTCAGTCATATTATTTTTAGTGAAATTTTTGAAATAAACAGTAAAAATCAAATTTTTATATACAAAATTATTTAATTTTTATATTAAATTTGAAAAAAATTATTGCATTTTTCAGCAATTTCCACTTATATCAATATAATGAATAAAAAGGAAGATTCAGTTCTTTCAAAAAGTCAGTTATCAATTTTTTAGTTATAATTTACCAAGTATATAAATTAATTTTTAACATTTTCTGGTAAAATTATTGTTAAATGTGTTAGATTGGATTAGATTAATAAAATTATTAACTATTATATTTAACATTTAATTACCTAATTCATTAATAATTAATTAGTGAATTGTCATCTTTCAGAAAATTTAATTTTAAGAAATTGTGGAAAAGAAATAACTTTTAGAGCAGATTTGTAACCCTCTACTGTTGTGTTACAGTAGATAAAAACATGTGCAGATTATGAATTCTCAGTCATTCAGGGCCAAGATTATAATTTTTGCATATTAAGCTGATTATTTTAACTCTTCTTTAATTGTATAAGAATTTAAACTAATATATAACAATATAGTTATTTATATAAGCTTTCAATATAATATCTACAGATGTTAGTAGATGTTGGTTTCAATTGCTTATACTAATTGCTTAATATGTTTGTTGCTTTAAAAGCATTAAGTTTTAAATTCTCTCATTTAATATGCCAGTGATGTTGATGGGTTCATATTATAAAGATATATAGTTAGTTTGTAAATTTATTTCTGTTTTAATTTATGTTTTTCATTCATTGAACACTAAAGATGAACAATAACATTGAATACAAATTAAAGAATATTTAAATTATATTCTACTGAAGATGAGATGTGAACACACCTCAAAATGGTTTGGATATAAAAAATATATATTTGTTATAAGAAGGAATTTATTATAGTATTAATATATATGTTAAATTTAAAAAAAATTAATGTCATATAAATATACATATAGTATAAAATGTATAACTATGTATACTATGTGTAATATATAAAATATAAAACTGAAATACATAAAAATAAAAGATTAACGTTATATGATATGTAACTATATGTTAGCATTTACTTTTCTAATGTAATTAGAAATTTTGTACAAAAAATATATTTCTGATTATATATTGTCTTTAAAAATTTTATTATCAAATATATATATATATATGTAT